ATTTTATTACTTCTACAGATGTAGAAATACTTCTGATATCTGATATCTATTTTTTCTATACTTTAGTCATTTCTATCATCTATTAGCCTTTCCAGTAATGTGTCTGTGTTATCAAACTTTTTTCACAGGAGGAACTCCCTTTTAAAATCAGCATCATTGCTTTGGGTTCTCTTTCAATGTTTTCCCCTTTTATTCTTACTAATTCCACTCTTATTTTATCTTAGATTAGTTTCATTGCTCTTTATCAAATGCCTGGCATTCTCTTCTGAGTTTTTCGCAATCCCTTTACAATATTCATTTTATCTAATAGTGTATCTAAAATAATTATTTTCCATACATTGGAATAGTGTGGCTATATTTTGCTATTTGTTTCTAATATTTTCTTGCAAAATAATCTGAGAACATAGTCTGTCTCATGGTATTGTTTAAAATTAATTAAACTTTTCTTTGTTCTATACTTGATTTTAAAAGCAATCTTTCATAGGTATTCTAGAAGGATCGTATTTTGTATTTTTGTGAAGTTACTGTTGAAATATCTATTCTTATTCCTTTTCAGTCTAATTAATCTATTTTGGACCTGGGTGTGCTAAAATTTGCATCTTCAACGTACCATAAACTGAGGCATTTTCTTTTATAATTCTGTCCATTGTGACATGATATAATATAAAATTACATTATTGGCACATATTGTTTTTTTTTTTTTTTTTGGTACCAGGTGTTTAACTCGGGACCTTGAGCTTGCGAGGCAGGTGGTGGCACCACTGAGCTAAATCCCCAGCAGGAACGTATCGTTCTAAGCTTGCCATATTTTCCTATAATACTTTTCCTTTCTTTATCATTTGAAAGCTTGTACTGAATTATATTAGTGTTATTATTTTAGACATTGCCACTCAGATATTTTGGTTTTTTTGTTTGCTTCATGTAAAAGATCTTATATATCTATAAAAAAACTCTTTTCTTTTTTAAATTCTCTGTACTCTCCTTTTTAAAATCTTCTCTAACAATGCTGCATCCAAAAAAGTCAAGTCATACAATCTCCTTTTTTTGTCACTAAGTTTAATTTATTTATTATAGTTATTAATATATTGACAGGATATTTCTGAGTAGCAGTATATTTTCTGTGCTTACTTATTTTTCTATTTTGCTGTCATCTATTGGAAAGAGAAAGAATTTTTGTTAGTTATTCTTACTTTTGTAAAAGGTGAGAAAAATATATTGTTTTGTTTCTCCTGCCAGTTGCCACTATTCCCTGGCAGTAACGTGTGCACTCATTTCACCCTGTCAGTGTCTTATGCGTTTCACTAACAATGTCTTCACCCTGGACTGAATAAGAAGTTTCCTCATTTTTTTGCTCTTTGTTCCCTTTTCCTGCTCTGAATCTTTTGCAAGTATTATTCCATATTATTAGATACATTAAATGATAAAGATGATGTCTACATATATATTTTGAGTTGTTACTTATATATTTTAATTATTTAAATAATAAAAGTTTATTTACATTCTTTCTTTACACACATTTTCTTACATCTTCCCATTAATTTTTTCACCTACTAGAATACTTTTAAGTTCCAGTATAACTGAGAATCTTTATTTTTTTCTTCCACGTGTAAATGAAAATACGTTCTTTTTAAAAAGATGATGTGAAATGTTTTACTTTTTAATTTATTTTAATTGGCAAATAAATAATTCTCTATATTTGTGGAGTACAGTGTACTATTTTGATACATATTTACATTGTGAAATGATTAAATTAAGCTAATTAACCTATCAGTTACCTCATATACTTATCTTTTCTATGTATATGTAAGAATATTTAAAATCTCATTTAAAACAGAGAATACAGAGCATTTCAAATTAATTTGCATGCTGTCTTAGTCAGGACTAGCCAGAAATTTTCTGTGAATTTTCTTTCTTACATAATTTATTGATATAGTCCTGCCACTTCTGTCCTCCCATCTCATCCCGTCCAATCCCACCCCACAGGCATGAACGAGTGCCTTTTGTTTCTCAGGCTGTGTATAGCATGTTGTACTTCAAGGGGAAAGTCATACAGCACTATGAAGTTAGGAGAGCAATGACCCATGGCCGCTTTTGGGGCTAGTAGGAGCAAAGTTTGAAGTATCCCCTGTTTAAACTCAGAAGCCAGGTACCTATACTTCCTGTCTGCACTTTTGTGAACTTGTATGCTGCCATCTACTTAAACTACTCTGCACTTTACCTACCCTGTGAGTGACACAGGAAGTGATAATTAAGCACAACTGTGGCCATGCTGTGAGCATCTTGCTTTCACTATAACTTTCCTGCTTTTGCACCAAGTGACAAGGACTGCAACTGGGATACTGTGATCCAAGTTAGACCTCTAAATTGTGTGTGTTGTCTATTTTGTCCCATCAACCAGAAAGCTGATTCATAGAGCAATTCTCCTAAGAGATCCTTTGGGTCCAGAGTCCTTGGTGGTTCCTTTTTTTGCTGATGTTCTCTTGCTCTGATGGCCTTCTCAAACCTGTCACCAAACCTGTCACTCCTCTCTGGAGTAAAGTAAATGCAAAATTCCCTGGTTCAATGCTATAACTCAAATAGATTAATTTTGTGAAACAAAATGTATTTATTTGTTTAAAACAAATTTAAACATTTTAAGAATCTTTGGGTTTTGTTTTTAAAACACATAACAAATATTTCTGCTTGTGTTAAGTCATAGTTAAAATTTTAATTCTCTGTAAACCTTACCATCACTTTTTAAAAAATTTGACCCAATAGAAATATGCAACTAATGCGCCAGGGATTTAGCTCAGCTGTTCAGTGGCCTGCCTTGCAAGTGCAAGGACCCGCGTTCAATCCCTGTTACAAAAGAAAAACGAAAAAATCACAAAACAAACAAACAAACAAAAAACAAAACAAAAAAGAAATATGCAACTAATTTATTCTGTGGATTCTCGCATCCTCTGGCTCACAATCTGTGAGCAAGGGACAGAGCTGCTCTGATGAGCTGGACTCAAGGATTAAAGTCAAATTCTTAGCCTGGCCATCAAAGCCTCCAGCATGTTCTCTTTCTGGCTATTGGATTGTCTTTTTCAAACCTGTCTACCTCTCAGAGAGACCCAGGCATAGTGGTCAGGCATTGCATGTACTTCCTGTGAGCACAGTCCTTTGACCTTCAAGGGTATGGTTTGCTATCACCAAAGGCCCTTCAATTTGGGTAAATAAACCTGTTTCCCGGTTTAATGCCATAACAGATGGAGAGCAGCAAGTGCTTTTATATTCTTTTCTCTTTTCCTTTTTGTATCCTTTCAGTTTTCTTCACTTCCCTTTCCTCTTGCCCCTTCTTCCTTTCCTTCTTCCCTATTTTCTTTTTTCTTTTCTTTTCACTCTTTCACTTCCTCTTTCTCTATTCTTCTCAATAAAAGTTTAGGTACAAGATCCATCTCTTGATAAATTGTAGAACCTACTACTTCCCTTCTACCCTGTCTCCCATTCACAATTAGCATATAGGGCAAGCGTATTTCCCAGATTTCCAGTTAGGCCTGTCATTTGGGATACTTGTTAAGACTCCTTCCATTGTCAAAATGTTCTGTTTTAAATGGTGTAGTTGTTTTCCCCACTAAATATGTAGGTGGAGTTGGAAATACTGATCTATTAAGGTAAATGCACAGGATGTTTTGTGGGTGGTTACCTTTACCCTTCCCAGCACCTAGGACTATATTCCAGAGTGGCAGGGGTTGGTAACTCAGCAGAAGACTATCTTTTCTCTATATCCTCCTGATAGATGCACCTATACACACAAGCAACCCCAGCATCGGTAATTTTTTTTTTTTTGATACTGGGGATTAAACTTGGGACCTTGTACTTAAAGCAGGCGGTGGAACTATCCCAGCATCAGTAATTTACAAAACACTAACATTATAGGTGTGTAAATAAAACTTTTCTGCCTACCAAATTGTATACAGTCCTTATAAGCTTTTCCAATTATTGATGGTAGGAAGTGGATTTTGAGAGTCTGAACAATAGTCTAACAAACTGCCACAATTTATAAGAATTTTTAATGTTGGAAATTATTTATTCTGCCCCCACTATTTCTCTCATGATAACTTTATAAGGTAGAGACAATGAGGCTTGAAGAATTTTGCTGATTTTCCTTTTGCTTCAAAGACAGTAATAAATAGGGCCCCATTTTTACTAGATGTTTAAAAATATGCTGTGGTCAAAATATAAACTCAATGTTTAAAATTTTTATTTTTACTTTTTAAAAATTTTATTTTATCCCATTCTCCCCTTGAGCCCACTCTCCTCTCTATGTACAAAAACTCTGTTTCCATTTTTCTTCTATTTCCACTTTTTTCTTGTCCCTTCCTTCCTTTCTCCCTCCCTCTTCCCTTGTTCTCTTTCCCATTTGAACATTTTCTTCCCATTTCCCAAAATCTCTTACATATCTTAGTCCTTATTTCTACTTTTGGTTTCTCACATCAGAGAAACAATATGGTATTTAAACACGTGTGCCTGATTTATTTCACTTAAGAGTATAATCTCAGGGTCCATCCATTTAGCTATAAACGTCTGAAGCTCATCCCTCTTTATGGCTGAGTAGTACTCCACTGTATAAAAAATCCACATCATCTTTATCCACTCGTCAGTTAATGGGCATTTGGGCTGTTTCCAAAATTTAGCTATTACAAACTGTGCCACTATAAACATGGGTATACATATATCACTGTGGTATGATGCTCTTAATTCTTTCAGGAAGATACCAAGAAGATGAAGAGCTGGGTCAAATGGAACCTCTACTTTTAATTTTTTGAGAAATCTCTGCACTAATTTCCACAGTGGTTGCACCAGTCTACACTCCCACCAATAGTAGAGAAGGGTTCCTTTCCCCCTAAGACCTACCAGCATTGGTTATTGGTTGATTTCTGGATAGCAGTGATCAGTTTTTGTAACTGAAGATGAGTTTACTTCTCAATCACGTAAAGCTTGTTGTGAACCAGCAGCCTCTCTTCCTCTTATAGCTGTGCCCCCAAAGACATCGACTTCCAAGATCACTGAGGCAGAAACACAGGGATGGAGCAGGCACTTAGCTCTTCATGCCTCAACCGAGAAGGGCACCAATTATCTTCCTATAGGTATTGTTCAGAACATGATCCATGGACCTGACCCACGTGTAAAAAGATCTGGAATTTAGAAGAGCCCAGAAACTACGGTGACTGCCAACTGCTTCTGTCATAGTCACCTATGATCGTCAATCATCAGGGAAGTCCTTAATAAAAGCACACATCATGTAAAATAGAATACTGTCTGAAATTTGCTTTAATGTACTACGAAGTAAAAAGAGTGTGGAAAATTAAAAAATGAAAGAAGATTGGAAAAACGTTGTCACCCGTTGAAGGAGGGTAATGAATATTGTATTGTAAATTCATGACACTATTCTACTTTGAATATCATAGACAATTTCCACTGTAAAAAGTTAAAAAAGAAAAAGAAAAGAAACACGCTGGTCTGGGAAATTTTTATTTAGTACATCTGAGATGAATCTTGGGAATGAATGCAAAAAATTTCCAGGTTGTTTTAATGGTGAAGATCCAAGATAATCTAATCATGTTGCTCATCTAGGTACAGATTTATACCATGAGTCATATAGTTATACAAACACATATTGTTTACAACTGTTGGATCTTTCATTTTTGATTCCATATTGACTATATTTTAAGTCTTTTTTTTTTGGAGGGTGTACCAGGGATTGAACTTGGGTCCTTGTGCTTTCGAGGCAGGAAAGGGAACCACTGAGCTAAATCCCTGCCCCCCCCCTTTTTTTTAGTCTCTCTAGGTAGTTTAGGCTGGTCTTGAATTTACTATGTAGCCCAGGTTGGCTTTGAACTTGCAGAAATTCTCCTGTCTCAGCCTCCTGAGTGCTGGGATTAGAGGTGTTCCGTATCATGTCTGGCATCTTCAAGTCTTTTTAATGCTTGTGGTCTTATAATCATTTCCAAATAAATGTACTTTTTAAAGTGAAGGAACTAAATGAAGAAAATTCTACTGAGCTCAGAGTATTTAGTACCCTCTCCCTCTGTGTTTTGGAAATTAAATGGTGCAGTTGATTTTTAATAAAAAGCATTTGTTCTTTGAAGTTTCTCCTATAGTGAATGGAGTTTATCTCTCTAGCCTCAAATGGGTGCTGGCTTTGTGGCTGTTTTGACCAGTGGAAGGGACATTGGCCTGGGCCTGGGGCTGGGCCTGAGCTTCTGATCACATTCTCTTAGAAATCCTTTGCCATGTGGGAAGCCCAGGTCAGCCGCTGAGGCCGTGTAACCTGAGCCGACCATCAGATTCACTGAGGAGATCACATTAGATTCTCTAACTGTGGTTGAGCTGCCAGGTTACTTCAACCACATGAGTGACCTCAAGTGAGACCAACAAAAGATCCACCCAGCTAAGCCCAGCTCCATGCTGCTGAACCATAGACCCAGGAGAAAACAAAAGGATTGTTGTTTTTAAGGTACTATGTTTTGGGATGGATTGTTATACAGGAATGAACAACAGTCAGATGGTGCTGCATACTCACAGGTCCTCAAGTCAATGTTTACCATTTTAAATATATATTTTCTCTTTGTTTTGTGGATTGTTTTTCTTCAATTCTTGAAAATCTCTAGGCTACACATCTTAGAATTGAGTAAGAACTGAGTCTCAAATATCTCTGAGTTGAAAGAAAAATCAAACTGTATTTTCCTCCAAGGAGAAACGATGTCTTGCATTAACTCAGGTTCCCTTTTATCTACTTTTATGACATCTGAGTTGCACTAGGATGTTATTTAATTTGGGGTTTGGAACAAAATTTACATTGGCATTGAGGGAGTTTTCTGGAGAGATAAACTTTCAAGGAAACCTGAATTGTAATTCAAGGGAAAGTGTGAGTTGCAAACTAGGATAATTTCACAGCAACAGAGTTTGGTCACTGAAGTCTGTGTATGAGCTTATTCCCTGATACTGCTGATACTATTTCCTCTCCTGGGATTGACCCAAGGACCCTATGAGGTAGGGACAGCATTAAGGTATTCAGTAGAGAGATGATATAAATAGGAACAAATGGAGAAATTGTCATTATGCTAATTTCTTACCATCTCATTTGGGAGAGATACTATGTTCTGCAAAATCACACAAAGGATTCCGGTTTTAATGAAGCATACTTTCCCTTTTCTGTATCAACCCTCAGTGGGTCTTATATAGAGAACCACTGATTCCCAATCATCCTTTTCCTGAATCTCTTTACATTAAAAGAAGTCTGAAAGAGAAATTTGCATTCCAGAGAAAGTTAGTTATGTGCCCCAAAGCAGATTAAAGCTGTCATGAATTCCTGAACTATACCAGTGAGTCTGAGAATCTTTGGGAATGATTTGCTAAACTGTTTTTAAAGTTAAGGTGTCTTTGCTATAGATTGAATCTTGCCTATGAGATGTAGTCCAAAAAAGAATCTTGAATTAAAAGGTATCACTTTTGGGAGTGCTTTTTATTCTCAAAATGCTCACTCTATCTAACAGAATTTATAATGCAGAATCTTTGACCCTCGGTAATGATTTTCCAAGTGTATTTTAACCAAATGTGACTATCTTTGCCTGTCTGAACAGGGCTACATTGAATTTATTTTTAAATGAAGTTGCTCACATATTTCCTACTAAAAAGGTTATGAATGAGAAGAAAGACATTTCATGTGGGAGAAAGCTGAGCGCCGTATGAAGGGATTGACTGGGAAAGATGGCCTGAAAAGCTGCTGACAGAGGGGGTCCTTAAAACAGCAAGGAAGCCTTGCAAGAGAAATCCAACAAAGAGCTTCTCTGGGCAGGGTCTTAACCTAGTGATGCTGTTGACTTCGTAGGTAACAAGGCACATCCCTGTCCTCAGAAATTTATAGTCTGCACAGATATGGAAGGCACATGCACCTAAAAAGCTTAGAGCAATAGTGCAGGCAAAAGAATAGCAGCAGAAAAACACAACAGATAGAAAACATCTCAACATCGTATGATAGTTGTAAAGTGAGGGTATGGTATAGGCTACCTGAACTCAGGTGGAAAAGGATGTATTGAAGAGGCCATGCGGGAAGACCATGGAGGATGTACAGTTGGAACAGTTTTTGGATCTTGGGCAGGATTTGGAAAAACTGAAGGGAGTGGGGGAAGCAACCTTGTTTGGAACACAATACAGAAAGTGGTACATAGAAAGATAAAGGAAAGAGCTAAGAAAGCACATGAAATGAAACATATTTTGAAGATAGTGAGTAGAAGAGTTTGATTAGAATAAAGTGAAACTGTGTATTTGCAGATTACTGGGTGGTGAATTGTATTTAAGTCTGACTTTGGAGGCTCTTAGTCCTAGTCAAGGTGTTCTACTCGTCTTGGTAACTGAGATTTTGTGTATATCACCAGGATTTTTCAAACATTTATTAAGATGCTTAAAAGACTAAGGACTATGTGTGTTATTGATGAATAGATAGATACTTTCCTCAGTTAAAAGAAATAAGCACTATTCCCCCTTTGAGTTTAAAATCAGCCATAGGAGGCCCAACCAATCTTTTTAATTGAGGTCAAACCAACAATCTCTCTATACTAAAATATAAACTGAAATATGATCTAAATCCAACTTTCTCTAACATAAAACTGAGCATAAAAAAATTAAACATACTGTCTGTCGGATGTGGGGGCACATTCTTATAGTCCTATCTACTTGGGAGGCTGAGGTAGGAGAATCACAAAATCGAGACAGGCCTGGGCAACTTCCTTGTCTCAAAATAAAAATTCAAAAAGAGCTGGGGATATAACACTCCTAGGTTTGGTCCCCAGTAGCTTCCCCTCCCAAGGCAGAGAGAAAGAAAGAAATTAAACACCAATCTCCATGATCTCCCTCCTAAATGCTTGTGTGTGTGTGTGTGCAAATATACAGTATGTATACGTACACTCAAAAGTATTACTCAAAATGTGGAGCATTAATGAGGCATTAATATGTTTTGTATAATAAAAGTCTAAATATATGTATAACAAAATTTCTTACTAATTTAAAATAAGGTGAACAAATTGTTCACCAAATCATTATAGTGCCTTTCCAAATAATTTGTTTACAATCAGAAATGGTGATGGTAATCTTTTGTGTGAAGTGACTGTCATCTAAACTATAATGCCCTGGCCTGAACCTTGATTTGATAAGACAAACTATATCAATCTCTTGTGAGATTATTTTATTGAATTGTGAGTAATTAGGCCCTTGTTGCCCAGGTTCTTTGTGGCAACCAGAGACAAAGAAATGCTTGACCTATGTTTCTGGCTTAGTGTGGATCTGAGTTCCAGGGCTTCCTATGGATCTGTGCCTTGGCTTCCATTGTCAGTTCTGCCATCTGCCTGCCACTACCTGCCAAAGATGCCCGTAGAGTGACAGACTGAGCTGCATACAACCTACCTTCTCATGTGTTCTGTCACTGTGCACCTCATTATCACCAGGGCTGCATTTCATGGTGTTGTACAAGAAGTAGCCACAGCAGGACTTCCATTTTCTGCACGATGAGAGACGCCACTTCTGGTTTGATTAAAAATCTCTGCCTGTAACAGTGAGCTCAAAAGAACCTCTCCAATTAATCCAGAGTGGATTTGATGTAAGTAACCTCTCTTTTCTTAGATATTGGAAAAAAATTAGCACAACGATGAGTGTACAGAATTGTATCAGTAGAGAGAATGTCTATCTCCCAAGAGAAGAGAATACAGAATGAATGAGCTTTGGCCTCTTAGCTTTGATTTGAGGGTTCTCACTTTTTCCTCAATTAGGAGACTTTGTTCAAAACTCAAATACTTATAAACACACATAAATTATAATAGAGTATAGTTTTCTGCATAGAGTGTAGAACTTGAACTAATATCTTAAAGTAATCTCTTATCTTCATAAAGTCCTAAGTGAAATAATTGTCTTTGGATATTGTTTTATATAAATGTCTAGGCTAGATGTCTAGGATCCTTCTTGCTATAAATTTCAAAATCAGATACCCAGGGTGGTAAATCCAAATGACCAGCTTCCATTACAACATTTTATAATCACAAAGTCTATTAGTATCTGGAGACTATAAATGTTAATTTTTTGCATTAATTAACCAAGAATTATGATGGGATTGAACTTTAATATGGACAGTGATCATGAAGTTGAAAAAAGTATGTTTGGGGTCCCACCTCCAACCAGAGACTGATTCATCGGGGAAGGACTGTAGGATCCTTATTTGTAACAAATGCGTGAGGCATTA